ATGCTGCAACTAAGACCCGGTGCAGCCAAAAAAATTTAAAAAAGAGGGCTTCCCTGGTGGCGCGGTGATTGGGAGTCCGCTTGCCGATGCAGGGTATGCGGGTTCGTGCCCCGGTCTGGGAAGGTCCCACATGCCGTGGAGCGGCTGGGCCCGTGAGCCATGGCCGCTGAGCCTGCGCGTCCAGAGCCTGTGCTCGGCGATGGGAGAGGCCACAACAGTGAGAGGCCTGCATATCGCAAAAAACAAACAAACAAACAAAAAAACAACCCACAATGAGATATTACTATACACCTATTTGGATGGGTAAAATTAGAAAGTAGTCAAAACCAAGTACCATGTGAGGAGGAAGAGCCACTAGAACTCTTACAGAGTTTCTTATAAAGCTGAACACAATTTAATACATATCTCAGCAGTTCTACTTCTAGGTATTTACCCCGATAGATAAAAGAAAATTTATATTTGTATTAAAAGCTGTACACAAATGTTTATAGCAGCTTTACTCATTATCACCAAAAACTGGACACAAATCAGATGTCCTTCAGTGTGTGAATGGATAAAACAAACTATGGAAAACTACTCAGCAATAAGAGGAATGAACTACTGATGTACACAGAATAGATGAATCTCAAAGGCATTACTCTGAGTGAAGGAAACCATCTCAGATAGTTACATACCATATGATAACATCTAATGACATTCTAAGAAGGGCAAATTTATAGGGATGGAGACCAGATCAGTGGTTACCAGGGGTTAGGGGTGTGGGGAGGGTTTGATTACAAAGGGGCAGCATGAGGGAGTGTTTTTTTGGTAATGGAACTGTCCCATGTCTGGATTGTGGAGCAGTTATAAGAATCTACATAGGTACTAAAACTCATAGGACCATATTCCCCCTGTGCCCTCCACCACAGTTACTTTCATCATATGTTAATTAAGAAAAATGTTCCTAGCATAGCACTGAAACACAATTCAGGCTCAGTGAATGCTACTTATTGCCACCTTTCTGTTTCCTGTATATTTCCAGGAAAGCTACCTACATCTGACGATTGTATATATATATATATATTTTAATTAATTTATTTTTGGCTGCATTGGGTCTTCATTGCTGCACGCGGGCTCTCTCTAGCTGTGGCGAGCAGGGGCTACTCTTCATTGTGGTGCGCGGGCTTCTCATTCTGGTGGCTTCTCTTGTTGCAGAGCACAGGCTCTAGGCACACGGGCTTCAGTAGTTGTGGCTCACGGGCTCTCAAGTGTAGGCTCAGTAGTTGTGGCATATGGACTTAGCTGCTCCGTGGCATGTGGGATCTTCCCGGACCAGGGCTTGAACCCATGTACCCTGTGCTGGCAGGCAGATTCTTAACCACTGCACCACCAGGGAAGTCCCTGACAATTGTATTTTAATGTTCGTGTGTGGAATGACTGACCAATATCACTATAGCAAGCATGTTGTCAGGCTGAGATGGGAGTCTTATGCAAGGGTGTGATCACACATTTTGCGGGGTGGAGATGGGTACATTAGTATGAGCCTGGGAAGCTGCAAAATATACTTAACCTTCTGTTAGTGTCTGTGGTGTCTGGTGTAGAATAGCACAGGGTTAAAAGCTTGTGCTGCAGAGTCACACAGACCCAGATTTAAACCTGGCTCTCCCTTTACCAGCTGTGGAAACTTTGAGAAGTTATTTAATCTCTTTAAGCCTCAGTTTCCTCATTAGAAGTGGAGTGATATCCATTTACCATTGCAACAAAAAGAATAAAATCCCTAGGAATAAACCTACCTAAGGAGACAAAAGACCTGTATGCAGAAAACTGTAAGACACTGATGAAAGAAATTAAAGATGATACAAACAGATGGAGAGCTATACCATGTCCTTGGATTGGAAGAATCAACATTGTGAAAATGACTCTACTACCCAAAGCAATCTACAGATTCAATGCAATCCCTATCAAACTACCAATGGCATTTTTCACAGAACTAGAACAATAAATTTCACAATTTGTATGGAAACACAAAAGACCCCGAATAGCCAAAGCAATCTTGAGAAAGAAAAATGGGGCTGGAGGAATGAGACTATAGTACATACTTCTATATGTACTGTACTTCAGACTATAGTACAAAGCTACAGTCATCAAGACAGTATGGTACTGGCACAAAAACAGAAATATAGATCAATGGAACAGGATAGAAAGCCCAGAGATAAACCCACACACATGTGGTCAACTTATTTTTGATTAAGGAGGCACGAATATACAATGGAGAAAAGACAGCCTCTTCAGTAAGAGGTGCTGGGAAAACTGGACAGCTACATGTAAAAGAATGAAATTAGAACAGTCCCTAGCACCATACACAAAAATAAACTCAAAATGGATTAAAGACCTAAATGTAAGGCCAGACGCTATAAAACTCTTAGAGGAAAACATATGACACTCTGTGTCATAAATCACAGCAAGATCCGTTTTGACCCACCTCCTAGAGAAAGGGAAATAAAAACAAAAATAAATAAATGGGACCTAATGAAACTTAAAATCTTTTGCACAGCAAAGGAAACCATAAACAAGATGAAAAGACAACCCTCAGAATCAGAGAAAATATTTGTAAATGAAGCAACTGACAAAGGATTAATCTCCAAAATATACAAGCAGCTCATGCAGCTTAATATTAAAAAAACAAACAACCCAATCCAAAAATGGGCAGAAGACCGAGATAGATATTTCTCCAAAGAAGATATACAGATTGCCAAGAAACACATGAAAGGATGCTCAACATCACTAATCATTAGAGAAATGCAAATCAACACTACAATGAGGTATCACCTCACACTAGTCAGAATGGCCATCATCAAAAAATCTACAAGCACTAAATGCTGGAGAGGGTGTGGAGAAAAGGGAACCCTCTTGCACTGTTGGTGGGAATGTAAATTGATACAGCCACTATGGAGAACAGCCTGGAGGTTCCTTAAAAAACTAAAAGTAGAACTACCATACGACCCAGCAATCCCACTACTGGGCATATACCCTGAGAAAACCATAATTCAAAAAGAGTCATGTACCACAATGTTCATTGCAGCACTATTTACAATAGCCAGGACATGCAACCAACCTAAGTGTCCACTGACATGAATGGATAAAGAAGGTGTGGTACATATATATAGTGGAATATTACTCAGCCATAAAAGAGACGAAATTGAGTTATTTGTAGTGAGGTGGATGGACCTAGAGTCTGTCATACAGAGTGAAGTAAGTCAGAAAGAGAAAAACAAATACCGTATGCTAACACATATATATGTAATCTAAAAAAAAAACAAAACATGGTTCTGATGAACCTAGGGACAGGACAGGAATAAAGACGCAGACATAGAGAATGGACTTGAGGACAGTGGGAGGGGGAAGGGTAAGCTGGGAAGAAGTGAGAGAGTGGCATGGACATATATACACTATCAAATGTAAAATAGATAGCTAGTGGGAAGCAGCCGCATAGCACAGGGAGATCAGCTCGTGCTTTGTGACCACCTAGAGGGGTGGGATAGGGAGGGTAGGAGGGAGACACAAGAGGGAGGGGATATGGTGATATATGTATATATATAGCTGACTCACTTTGTTATACAGCAGAAACTAACACACCATTGTAAAGCAATTATACTCCAGTAAAGATGTTAAAAAAAAAAAAAGTGGAGTGATAATAGTAGGTACCTCATGAAGTTGTTATGAAGATTAAATGAAATAATGCATATAAAGCAATTAGTACAATGCCTGGCATATAGAACAGGCTCAATAAAAGTTAGTTTTTGTTGTTATTATTATTGTTGTTATCATCAGAAAGAACCTACATTTTGATAGAGATAGGCCTGTGTTCAAAACCTGGCTTTGCCACTTACTGTCTGTGTGACATATAGGCAAATAACTTCACCTCTCTGAGCCTCAATTATTCAGCTATTTGAGGAGGGTAACTCTTTGCAGGGTTGTTGTAAGAATTTAATGTATTCAAAGCCCCAAGCACAAGGGCTGGCGCATGATAGGTTCTAAATTCATGTTTTTTCCTCCCTCAGCGTGATGGTACAGATAGTGAGGGCTGGCTTGTATCGCAAGAATTCCAAATCAGCCCTCTCATCATCCCAAGGCACCACAGTGTTCAGCTCTGGGAGCCACCCCCAGCAGCTCGGCTGACATGGCTAGGGCCAGGACCCTGCAAGAGGTAGTTCTGTCTTCACCCGAGTAGCTGATGTTAAGGGAAATGGCGCGTGATAGAGCAGAGTCACACGTTTCTAGGGGCCACAACTTCTCTGTTAGCTCACTCAGCCTCCTGCCTATGCCTTTATTTTAAAAAAGGTCTAGGTGAGAACTTTTGATTTTCCCCTACCCATCTGGAAGGCTAGATGATTTTGAACAAGGCCATGCTGTGGTAGTGTCATTAGATCTGCTTGACTTTAGCATGGTGAAAGTTGACTTGTTTTTTACCTTTTTAAAATTGTTCCACCAAGAATCATGCTAGGTCCTGGGAGGCTGTGAGGGTTGAGAAAGGATGGACTCTGGCACCAGGTGGAATCAGGGCTGGGGAAACAACCCTAAGGGGTGCAGCTGGCAGTTCCACTTGCAATAGCCAGAGGGCCAGTAGGAATTGGGCCGGAGGGGCAGTATATAGGACCCTAAGAGCTTCTCACACGTAGCCAGTGCTGTGGCCAGCATGGGTTAATTTGGACAAAGATAAGTAGCTGCATTATGCTCAGAAGTTATCATCATGACTAACAATGATTGTTATTCCCTCCTGAGGCTTGTGGCTTCATTTCTTTGTATCCAGATAGCTGTAGACACCCCTCAGTGTTCCGTTGCCTCTAGTTTCTCCTTCACTAGCACGTGTACATGCTGCCAGTGATCTTTCTAAGTTACATTTTAATTTCCTTTTCTTATTCCATCTGGCTTCCTGTGCCTGGCACACCATCCCTTCAAATCTGGCCTTAGCCTTTTTTTTTTTCCCCTTTGGCCATGCTGTGCGGCCTGTGGGATCTTAGTTCCCTGGCCAGGGATTGAAGCCAAGCCATGGCAGTGAAAGTGCCAAGTCCTAACCACTGGACCACCAGGGAATTCCGTGGCCTTAGCCTGTAAGTCTCTCTAGACATACCTCCTACCACTCTGATCGGACTCTTGTCCTTCTTTGGGTCATAGTCGTTCCATGTTTATTCCAGGTGCCTTTCTTTGCTCAGATAGTTCTCCTTTCTGGGAATTAACTTTTTATATCCCTCCCTCCAACCCCTGGCTCTGTGTGTATTGGTCTTAGGTGTCCTCTGGAATGCCCCAGCTTCACTTTTCATGAACCTTGCCTGGCTTTCTTCCCCCACTGATCTCTCTCATCTCAGTACTAACTCCTGTAGCACAGTCTACATCACTTGTTTAGCACTTAGAATGTCTTGCTTTGTACCCCAATGATTTTGATTGTATTGTTGCCTATAAGTTTGTCTTTTTGCACTAATACTGGAATTGCTAAAGCACAACTCTGATCGTTAGTCCTGTCTTGTAAAGGGAGTGTGGTGGAAAAGTAACATTCCTACCATGTAATAAGTCCTGTGCCAGCTGAGTATATATGCAGTTTCATTTACTTCTCAACCACTCTATGAAATCGGTGTTATTAACTCTGTTTTAGAGATGTTGAAACTGTAAGAGTGGCTTACCTTCACTTACTAAACTAATCTAAACTCTGACCTGCCCGCCAGGGTTCCTGCAATCTGACTTTAGCTCGCCTGACTAGTTCTTGTTATACCCTGCATTCCCTTACTCTATGCTGCAGCCATCTCAAACATGCTCTTAATCTCTCATCACTGTGCCTTTGCTCCAGATAAACCCTCATCCTGGCATCGCTCTGTTTCCCATTTTTTGCCTGTAAAAATTCTACTTGTCCTCCAAGGCCTAATCAGGGTTTCTCAGCCTCAGCACTGCTGACGTTTTGGGCCAGATTGTAGGATGTTTAGCACCATCCCTAGCCTTTCTACACTAGAGGCTAATAGCAGCCACCCCACGCCCCACACCACCCAAGTTGTGACAACCAAACTTTTTTTATTGCCTCTTGTCAGTCGCCCTGGGGAATAGAATTGCTCCTGGTTGAGAACTACTGGCCCTAGATTAAATGTTGCCTCCAAGAAATCTTGTTTGTTCCCCTACAGTGGGACGTAATCCTTCCTCTCCCATGCTCCAGAGTACTTGGCATGAAGCCCGCATCTGGCATATTGCTTTGCTCCATATTGTAATTAGTTGGGTGCATCCTTGTCTGTCCTACCAGACTGTGAGTGCCTCCCAGGAGCAGGAACCAGGTCTCACTCATCAGTGCTTCTCCCACAGTGCTTGTTGCAGGGCCTTGCACACAAAGGTGATGAGTTACATTTTTTTGAATTTGAAAGCAAAATCCTATCTTATCTGTGTGTGCTCCTTAAATTGTTTCACTAGGGCAGAGCAAGAGTATAGAGTTGGCTGGTCAATCGTATAGTGGACAGGGTGCTTTTGACTTGTGAGTTCCTGGCCAGGATAGCAGCTGAGTCAATAGTGGGCTGTTTCTAGAAGTTGCTAAGGTCTGGGCTCCAGACGTTTGTGTATGATGTGTGTGTCTGACCTCCTCTGTGACTGCTTCCCTATCCCTCTGCCCTGTGCTATGAATCATATACAGAATCTGGATGGAGGTAAAATCACTATAGTTAAAATATTAGGGAAGACAGAGAAAAACATACAAGAGGGGTGTTGAAGAAAGGAAAAGACACTGCTGAGACTGCTGAAAGGCTGTGTGACTGAGCAAAGGCATGCACAGGCATTGGAGCAAGAAAGACGAGCGTTTTAGGTGTACAGTTAATAGTTGTATGACCTTGGGAAGTTTGTTAAACTCTGTGAGCTTCGTTTCCTCACTGTCAAATGGGGACAGTAATCCTTACCTTGAAAGGTTATGGCACAGATGAAATGAACTTGTGCATAGAGAGTCCCCAGCCTGTGGCTTAGTTCCCAGTAGTAGTACTACCTACTTCTACTCCTACCCGCCTGTAACGTGCTAGGCCTGTGCTGGGTGCTTCTACGTACACTCGCTCATGTCATCTTTACAGGAAACATCTACTGTGGGGTACATAGTGATTTTTCCATGTAACTGATAAGGAAACTGAGACTGAATTAGCTCACAGTTACCCATTTTTTGGGGTTATTGCAACTCACATCTGCCTCAGGCTGATGAAAATGTTTCAGACTTGCGGTGATTGTACACTTCTGTGATTATGCTAAAAACCCTTGAGCTGTACACTAAGATGGTATGTGCATTATATCTCATGAAGATGTTAAAAAAATAAAAGTTTCACTACATTGGTTGGAGTAGTGATCACCTTCCACTTGCCTTTCTGTAGCCCAATCCATAAGAATCCCTAGTGCTCTGTAGAAAACACATTGAAAACCATGTTGACTTCTATCTCCCTTTCCCCCACTCCTTACTCTGACAGATATGATGAGGTGCTTCTAAGTCTGAATTACCATGGTTTCTGGAAGCAGAGATCCCTGGTTAGCTAGCTGACAGCTAGGTTCCCTCTGTTTCTGGGCAGGTGTAGATGGCTTTTGAGGACACCAGACTAAACAGCCTTTGGGAGAATTTCTTTCTCCTCCCTCCCTCCCTCCCTCCCTCCCTTCCTTCCCTCCTCCCTCCCTTCCTTCCT